GTTGTAAGACATGCTGTTATTTTCTGTATCATTGGGAGAAAGCCTAATAGTCATATTCATTAGTTACCATAAATTTTAAGATGCATCTCAGAGATTTAAAATTAATAGAACTTACCATATATTTACACATAGTTTTAGTTGAAGAATACTCATAATAATATTAAAGAAACTACATCAAATAAAACATTATGTGCCACATATTACATAGATTTTTTAAATTCTTAAAACCTAAAGCTGGATGAGAAAATATAGTTAACACTAGACATGAGGAAATTTACTGAGATCATTTTAAACTATATAAAGTAGCAAATTAAATGGGTTTTACCAATGTATCTTACACTTCACAGAAGAATCTGTGGTATCTATGATAAAGTTTTTATATTCCTTCCCAGAATCACATAAAATTAACCTAAAACTTGAGATTTAGATGAGTTGTTTAGTATTCCAAAAAAAACACACATTGAGTGAGACACTGTGTGTGTGTGTGCGTGCGTGCGTGCGTGCGTGCGTGCGTGCGTGTGTGTGTGTGTGTGTGTGTTTGCTGATCCTGGGACTCGCACAGCATGGACACTGTCCATGAGCCTCTCAACACAGTATGTTTTACGAGCTCTAATCAAATAACACATTTAATGCTATGTAGAATTTTAAAAGACTAATCATTCTTGCCTTCTGAGAATTATTTTATTCTAACTTTGAACATTTTTCCCCCCAAAACTTAAAAGACAATTCAAATCTAACTGGAGCTTTGTGTGGCTCTAAGGTAGTTGTTTAGTGAAGCTTGGCTATTTTCAAGACAGCTCTTAGGAACCACCTTGCCCATGGTTAGTATTAGGTATTTATCACACTTGTGGCTAAATTCAAACTCTGGGTCATCATTAAGAAATCCAATTGAATAGATATTGTTAATTTCTGAGATAAACTGCTTGTGGCTTTAGGCTAAAAGATAGTCTGAGGCATCTGCCAATAGGTGGCTTCATGGAGCTTTGAAGACCACAATAGATACAGGCCTAGAATGGGAGCTCTGAGTGCTAACTTGGAAATAATACTGCAAAATTTAGCCATTGATGTGGACTTGATCAAAATATACAGCTGGGAATGTTGTACATTATAGTTATAGTTCAAGTTCTAGTTATAGAGAACAGCAAAGTTAGAGTTCAAGGCTAGCTCGGGCAGAAGTAAACACAAGATCCTTTCTCAACCCAGCTAGACAGGGTGGTGCCTGGGTCATCCTAATTTTGTGGTCTGCTGAGATCAGCAGGATCATGCTTCTAAGTCCTGCCCTTCAGCAGATCACAAGGCTTTGTCTTGATGGAAGAAACTGGGTGTAGTGGTGCGTGCTATCACCCCACTTACTACAGGAGGACTAAAATGGGTAGATCATGGTCCTGGTGCATTCCTGGGAAGGCAGTGAGAGACTACTCCCCAAATAAAACAGTGCAGAAAGGCTAGGGACATGAATAGCAGGGGAGCATCTGCCCAGCAACACAAGGCCCTGAGTTCAAATCCCAGTACCTTGAAAAAGAAAAAAAATGTACAACATGAATCTTCATTCAGTTATGCAGTCTTCAGAGCAGCTGCAAAATTGGAGCATGATTCACAAATCACCAGGTTGCTCTTTGGCCCACAGGTGGGGCTAGAGCAAGCCTAAAGCAGAGCTAAAATGTCTGTAGCCGTGCACATGGGCAGAGTACATGCAGATTCATTTTACACTACCAGTATTGTTTCCTGCTTGGACACAATTGCCACTAATAGTAAGAACTTACCTTTTTTGAGTGTTTTCAAACTTTTATCAAAGTGCTTTCATAAGCATATAATTTGCCTTTATAGTTAACCTGAACTGGTATAATTACCCCCATTTGGCAGATGAGGAAAATGAGGCTTGCAAATACTAAAGTAACTAACCTTAAGGTCATTTGGCTCTTGGCTTTTTTTCAACGTGTATGCTGCCAATGCTTGACTCCATCTTCATCTCCAAATTTAGAAAGCAATACAGAATGTGGACCAGCAGCAGTGGCTATCTTTAGGGACAGTCTGTTTAGTTGCCTATCTTTTAACCTCCCAGATCACAAGCTGAACTTTGGTTGGTATTGAAAAGAAAAATGAACAAAACCAGAACACTAAACCATCACTTCTTACCATCAGATTAAACATCTCTCCTCTGTTGAATTCATGAATCATTTTTGGAAATTCTAGATATTTCTTCATCTGCCTTACCCTGTTTACACCTCAGCCAACCTCACTGTAGTTACTTTTTACGTGACTCGTAGTAAGTCATGTACAAGTTCAGACAGGGAGTCCAGAGTTAGAGCAAGTTAAGCAAGAGTTGCCAGCATTGTTGGTTATAAACAAAGAACTCTGTTAACCATGACTGGGATGGTTTCCTTACTTTTGATATATCCAGAGAGGCTCTTCTGTATCTTAGCAGCTTCTTAATAGCTGACCCTTCTTTTGAAAGCTTTTGCCCCATTTCTTTCCAGAAAGTATTGTTTCAGCATTCCTTTCTTTCTATCATATGCGTCTGCCGCGGTGTGGATGTTAGGTTGTGGATTGTGCTCTTGTCTTTCCTCTTTGTAACCTTTACGTATACATTGTCCTTTTACAGTAGATCGAAAATATGCACAAGATAAAGTAAGGAAGTGGGGTGATTGTTAAGAGGGAAAATCAGAGTGAATGGGACAAACAGATTTTCCTTGCAGAGCAGGGGTTGCCTGACTGCTGAACTGTGGACTTAACATTCATTACCTCTTCTTGCATCTTGTGAAACAAGAGCTATTTTACATGATTTAAAGTGTCTCTTTAGTTTAAAACCTCATTCGTGTAGACCCCAAGCCGAATATATAAAAATCCTACTAAAGGTAGAAGGGCAGGTAAACCTCTTACTGGTGAAAAAGAAAAAAAAAAAAAGAGCGGAAATTCTGTTGGTAACTTTTTCATTAACATATAATTGTGATTTAACTTTCTGGAAATTACAAAAGCAATTGAAACCCACTATTGGCTAACCTTTTCAGCTTGTTTCTTAGTCTCCCACATTGTATGTCCAGCACCTAATCTACCACATGATTAGCAGGGTATATATTGGGATATTTTCATTAAAGATTGATGAACTTCTTGACCTGTTTACCTTATTAGGACAGATGCATTATATCTTGAGATTGCTATAAAATTCAAGAGATGTAGGAATGAGTGAGAAAACTCTATTTGGTAATAAATTTTAGAGTGTTTGAAGGTGTAGAGAGCTAGGAGCCCCTAGCTCTTACCTGTAATTCTAGCTACTCAGGAGGCTGAGATCTTGTGATCTCATTTCAAACACAGTTGGGGCAGAATCCATGACACCTACCTCCAGTTAACCGGTAAAAAGCTGGAAATGAGCTGGGACTCAAGTGGTGCTGGCCTTAAAGCTCAGGAACATTGCCCAGGTTCTGAGTTCAAGCCCCAGAACTGACATGGAGGGGGGGGGATTTATATATATATATATATATATATAAACACAACATATAGGATGTGTCTATTAGTCCTGCGATTGGTAATAATGTTTAGTAATTTTAATAGCAGCACTCAGAGTCCATCTAAAATGAGAACATGCAACATTGTGCTAAAGACTGTGTTTCTCTTACATGGTATTCTTTGCAATAATTTTACAGCTGATTTGAATAATAATTATGGTTTTAGAGATGGTATTCCTTGGCTCAATTTAGTGACTTAGAATCCTAGAAATATGAAGACTGTTGTGTCTTTACTGGAATATTACTTATAATAATAACTATAGTTCTCATTTGCTGAGTCTTTTCTTGTCAGCTGTGATTATTCAGGTGAATATTGTACAACAAACCAGGCCATGGTCAGGAAGGGCAGAGGGGAGGAGAGGCCAGTGATGAGGAGTTGCTGTGCTTTGAACAAATGAATGTTAGTCCAAGGATAGGGATGAGATTAAATCTCTTTATTAGTCCTTCTACAAATTAATAAGCATGTGTAAAATCGACAGCAGATTTTGCTCTAATTTTTTCCCAGAAATTATTAAGGATTTTACATCTATGAAAACTATAAAGGAATTTTTATTCTGATTTAAAGCAGGGATTACCTGTTTGGATTTTAACTAGGCAGCAGCAGATAGACATTTATTATTTCAAATAGCTTTATTGTTGGATTCTGTGTTAGAAGTCCTGGGTTATATTTGTTAACATTGTAACAGGATTAAATGTAGCGCTAACAGTTAAGTTGGATGTTGAGATCCTGACCAGAGCCCCATCGGACATATCTTTAGTGAATTATAGCCTTTAAACACTGATTATCAGATTTGTCTTATTTGAATGTTATTTTTTTGCAGCTAGAATTTGTCTTATGCTTCAGTGCAGCTAAGCGTGGTGGTATAATCTAATCCTAATTAACAATGTTTTGTGACTTGAGACTTCTGTCAAAGATCATTTTAGGAGCTAGAAACCATTGGAAGGTACATTGAATACACAGCTTAAGCTCTCTTCTTTTGCACTATAATTTAACTTGAATTCAAAGAGACCGGGAAAAAAAATAACCTTTTTCTTTTAAACTGTAATAAATGTGCTTGTGTGATTTGGCTGTTGTTAATCCCCAACATTAAATATTTATGGATGGAAGGATTTTGTTTGTAATATTTGAAAGTAGACACTGCTGGGACAAAGATTTAAAAAAACATCAGAAATATAGAGTAGATATATTGGTTTATATTCTTTGTTAATTGATCCTGCTTGTTGAACAGAGGAAATGAAAATATCCACGTGCTAAAGAGAAATCTGTGTTCATAAACTCCTCCCTTCCTGTTGTCAAATATGTTTCATGTGTTGTTTATCTTATTTAAATATACAGTAGACAAGAGAATGCAACTACTGTTCCTTTAATATCAGAACTATGCATGTTACAATAGGTGTCACTGTTTTGCTTGGTCCAATCATGATTGGTGACTTCAGCTATTGGCTCCGAGCACTGGCTGTCTGACTCCATCTGCAGGGCTGTAATACCTACTCTCCTCTCCTCCGATCCATTCACCACACAACTTCAGCCGGCTGAACACACTCGCTTGCTCGCTCGGCTCCAGTACATCTTGCTAACCTAATTCAGAAAACAAGTACTACAGCTCTCTGCCTGTCATCTTTGCTCAGTGTAGCATTTTCAGGTGATCTAGGAAACGGTTATTTTTATGAGCAAGTAAGAGAAACAGGAATCATGATGGGGATGTATTTAACAGATCCAGTACTGGATAAAACTTAAAGCCAGTTTCTATTCAACATAGTGAAAAGGTCACCTTGCCTGGCTGAGAAAAGAAGCAAAATACCAGCTTGTTGGTTCCTATTTACATCTCAACTCCGGCTAGCCTCTTTTTCTTGATGTTCGAATCAATTTGGGATATCTAGCTGTAAAGAGAGACATACTGTACTCATGGTAGATGACAAGGAAAAGAACATGAAATGTCTCACCTTCTTCTTGATGCTTCCAGAGACGGTAAAGAACAGGTCCAAGAAAAGCTCAAAGAAAGCAAACAGCAGCAGCAGCAGCAGTAGCAGCAGCAGCAGCAGCAGCGCTGGCAGCAGCAACAGCAAGTTGCCCCCAGTTTGTTATGAAATAATTACCTTGAAGACTAAAAAGAAGAAGAAGATGGCTGCTGATATATTCCCTCGCAAAAAACCAGCCAATTCCAGCAGCACCACTGTCCAGCAGTACCACCAGCAGAATCTCAGTAACAACAACCTCATCCCCGCCCCAAATTGGCAGGGTCTTTATCCTACCATTAGAGAAAGGTAAGTGCCGGGCCAGCACTTGGACTTGAAAAAGTTTTCTGTGTTGAAGTTTGTGCTTTTGTACAACCTGCAAAGTATTTTAACACAGATCAGTGTTTCCTCTTTTCCCAGATGCTTTACTGGTAATGGAAAACTGCTTGGTATCTTTTCCAAATCAGTACAGCTGTTTTCCTCTTAGATAAAAATGTTTTTGCAAGCTTTAACAGATAAAGACAGGGTTGTGTCTACGGGTCATGGAAGATAGAAACCCTTATTTGTTTTTAGCCATGTAAAAGTTTACATAACTTTTTTCTTTTAACTTTACTTCCATGCCATGTGTTTGCCATGATTACAAACACAGTTTTTTAGTTAGAACCTTTATGTGTTGTTTTGCTGTGAAATGAAATTATTAAACTATGGCTTAGCCTGTGACTCTCTTGCAGGTTTTGTATTTTGAGGAAGGGATGGGGATGTTAAGATTGCTGGCTGCTTTGAATTAATGAATTACCTCTGTTTATAGAAATGCGGTGATGTTCAATAATGATTTGATGGCAGATGTACATTTTGTGGTTGGGCCACCAGGTGGGACTCAGCGGTTACCAGGACACAAAGTAAGCAACAGCTGCATTACTGGTTTAGTACTGAGATTCACAAAGAAGAGACCCTCTTAGTCAGGCTGGAAGTTGGTGTTGGCAGCTTGCCGATAGCAGGCAGAGCATGTTTTACCCGATTACAGAGCAAGCGTACCCTCTCCAAAGGGCTTTGGCCACGCTTAATTTTTCTTTGTTTCCTTCCTCTGCACTGCTTTATGTATCACACAAAAACATGCCCTCTTAACTCTCCAAGTATGGGAAGTTGTTGTGACAGGTTAGAAAAGTCTTACGTTTACCCTTCTCATAGAAATTGGTGAGGTAAGCTTTTATTTATTTTGCAGTGCAGGACCTGGGCATTAATTTCTCCAGGTTTTTGAGATAATTAGTATAGTGACCTTTTTTTTCTGTTGTTTTTGTTTTTTATATGAACAGTTCATGCTTCCCTGGCAAGGTAGCCAGTTATCTTTACTTTTTTTTTTTTTTTTAAAGAGGTTTAGATACTCTATGTCCACTAAAGCTGATTGCTTAGAGTTGTTTTTCTGGATTGATTTGCTGAAAACATTTTCAATTTAGTGCATGAAATAAGATTTTCCTGTCTCCACAGTATGTCTTAGCTGTTGGGAGCTCTGTATTCCATGCAATGTTTTACGGAGAACTTGCTGAGGACAAAGATGAAATCCGTATACCAGATGTCGAACCTGCTGCTTTTCTCGCTATGCTGAAGTAAGCATTATTTGTATGTTTGGAAAGAGTTTGTTTATGCTGTATTTGTACTCGGCTGGCTTCAAAGTTAAATGTAAGTTCTGCCTAACTCTAAAGGAAATCTGAAGAGAGAGGGTGCTGCTTACCTTGAAAATGTTTTTTTGGAGAAAACTGCTGTTCCTTTCAGTGGAAAGCATGTAGAATGATGCAAGCATTTATAATCACAGTTTGGCATAAGATATGAGGGCAAATGACATGCATAACAATTTGACGTTTAATGCCTTACAATTAGAAAAAAAATAACTTGCAAGAGTAGACATTAATAGAACATGTTCTCTCTGAAAACAGGGCATATAAAGAAGTCTTCAAAGAATTCCATTTTTACTTCACAATTATAGAAATTATATACCCTATTTAAGTATCACCAGGTTGGAGAATGCTAAGTTTTCTGAGTTAATGACCTCCTGACAGCAAAGGCAGAACTTAACTTACTATTTGTTGGAAATAGTCTTATACTGGGGCACACATACATAACATGCAAAATTGGATCCTCTTCAAGGATAAGATGCATTTACTCTTGATGTTGCAGGAGTAATTTTTGAAAGCTATGAATAGCGTATTACTTTTCACATTGATGCAGAAAATCCTTTAGTTGAGAATATAGAAATATAAAATACATATATGGATGTAAAGTTTTACAACTAGTGGCTCTTTTCTGTGTGGTAGTATATGTTAAACATTACATGAAATCATCTTCATTACCATGTGCTGATGCTACAGGAGATAGCTCCATGTGATTAAACTCTAGTCATTATTCAAAATTATACTTCTCTGATTTTTCTCTATCTGTATTTCTGGTACCCTGAAGTGTTGAGTTTAAGGTTATCTGCTGTTTAATGTTATTATTGTAGTTCACTGGAATAAATAAAATGTCCGTTAAAAACAATTTCTCAGTGGATCAAGTTGAGCAATACTTTCACAAATGGCTAAAATGCTATGTATTATTTACTGCCTCCTGAAAAATAAGAGTTCTAGAACTTAAGCATATTTAATTCTTTATTCCTATTGGAGTTTTGAAATCTAATTGCTGCTGATTAGAACTTTCTCAGTGAAAGGCAGGGAAATTAAAGGCAAGTGGATATATAAAGCCTATAAACAAAAACTACTCCACTGCTTTTTACGAAGATGTCTGTACAGAAACCCATTTACCTCTCAGTATTCCTGCCTCTCCCCCCTCAAAGTCAGCATTGTGTATGTGCCAGTGTGATCTGTGGTTGAGTAGAATGCAGCACTAGTTCAGCATTTTGACTCCACTGCAGTCAGGTAAAGTGCTGCATGTGTCCTTGTAGACATATGCATAATCGGGAAATATAAACGAAAGCCACAAAGAGTGACTTCTCACCCAGTCCTTTGATTTATCATTTATCAAGTATCTTTTTTTCTCATGGATATATTGCCTGGACCATATGGCAATACAGCTTTTTAAAATTTTACAAGCCATTCACATGAAGTGGTAAGAATAGAACTGCAGTAAGTTACCATAGTTGACACAGTGTGAGGAGGCTTCCTCCCTCCCACATTGTGAGTGTGTAGCCAGTATTCCTGGAAAAGGCCTTGATGATAAATGGCAATATTTACTCCCTTGATAGTTTGAGAGCTACCAAGCCCTGACCATGTTCCTCGTTGCTCCACATGTGCTGTGTAACTGAGTGCAGATGTATTATTGTTAAGTGGTCTTGCTAGTAGTAGCTAGCTTAGCCTAGTAGAATGGAGAAAGGTTCCTGGGAGCAAAAGGGCATTGCGTTTGTGACCTTAGACATGTTTCCTCTTCATATCCATAAAGGTTTTTTTTTTTTTTTACTATATTGCAAAAGCTATTGCTCATTTCTTAAGTTATATGTGCTTTACTAAAAAAATGAAATAACTGAAGGAAAACTTAAGTACTGAATGCTTTAGCTAGAAAAAAATTAATGTTAAATGTTACCAATATTGTTCACATATGTGGTTTTCACTGACTCTTTCTCACCTCATCCACAGCAATGTAAGAGCAGATAATGTCTACCTTTATGATCATTTTGGAAAACTGCCACTCCACCTAACTACCTGAGACGGACTCACTTCATAGACGCAATATCCACTTAAACTTTTATGTGTCATGTTTATACTAGTACATCTAGAAGTAATTCATTTTTTAATCTGAAGGTAGAGAAACATAGGTGGAGAAAGATGACATTTAGAATTTGAAAAACAGGTTTAAAGTCTGTTGGATTCAGTGTAAAGTGAACTAGAAGACAGCACTGAGGGCCATAGATTGACAATTTATTGAGCTTGCAACTACTTGAAAAATAATTAATAATTAAGCTGTATTTTATATTCAAGAAAAATCCCAAAACATCAAGACACACTCTACTCATTGTAGACATAGTATTAGTGGCATTGGTTTTTATTTGAATGTATAGAAAGGTGATAGTAAGGTATATTTATAGATATTACCATTCAAGCATGAGGCGGGACTCCTTGATGAAATGTAATAGAACATGTATAATAGATTTTTGCTGTTGTTTTCTAATACTGCATATATCTGATATGCAATCTTTTTTCACATAAAGATACTGAATACAGCTTGTTAGACAGAGGTTACAATGGAAACAGAGTTAGTGTCTTTAATTATATACACGTTACTGTATGCTGTAAACTGTATGTATATTTCAGATGCTTTGTTAAGACACACATCTTTCTTTCATACAAGATTATGATCTTGAAACTAGTGGCTCCATCACTGCCAACCTCCCCCCTTGGTGTGCATTCCATGATGTGTGGTGTGCTTCCTTTCAGATACATCTATTGTGATGAGATCGACCTGGCTGCTGACACAGTGCTTGCCACACTGTATGCTGCCAAAAAATACATCGTCCCTCACCTGGCCAGAGCCTGCGTCAATTTCCTAGAGACCAGCCTGAGTGCCAAGAACGCCTGTGTGCTCCTCTCCCAGAGCTGCCTGTTTGAGGAGCCAGACCTGACACAGCGCTGCTGGGAGGTGATCGACGCACAGGCTGAGTTAGCGCTCAAATCTGAGGGATTCTGCGACATTGACTTCCAGACATTAGAAAGTATCCTTCGCAGGGAAACTCTGAATGCCAAAGAAATTGTGGTTTTTGAAGCCGCTCTCAACTGGGCTGAAGTTGAATGCCAGCGACAAGATCTGGCGCTAAGCATTGAAAACAAGCGCAAGGTCCTAGGGAAGGCACTTTACTTGATCCGCATACCCACCATGGCCCTCGATGACTTTGCAAATGGTGCTGCACAGTCCGGAGTATTAACTCTCAATGAGACCAATGACATTTTCCTCTGGTACACTGCGGCGAAAAAGCCCGAGCTGCAGTTTGTGAGTAAGGCCCGCAAGGGCCTTGTCCCCCAGCGCTGTCACCGCTTCCAGTCATGTGCCTATCGGAGCAACCAGTGGCGCTACCGGGGTCGCTGTGACAGCATCCAGTTTGCAGTGGACAAAAGAGTGTTCATTGCAGGCTTCGGGCTGTATGGTTCCAGCTGTGGCTCTGCAGAGTATAGTGCCAAGATAGAACTCAAGAGGCAGGGCGTTGTTCTGGGGCAGAACTTGAGCAAGTACTTCTCAGATGGATCCAGCAATACCTTCCCTGTGTGGTTTGAGTACCCAGTGCAGATTGAGCCCGACACCTTCTACACAGCCAGTGTGATACTGGATGGCAATGAACTCAGCTATTTCGGACAAGAAGGCATGACGGAAGTTCAGTGTGGCAAAGTGACTGTTCAGTTTCAGTGCTCCTCAGATAGCACCAATGGCACTGGGGTACAGGGAGGGCAGATCCCTGAACTTATCTTCTATGCTTGAACTTCACTACCTGAGCTCGAGCAGTGGGAGCTTGAGGTGCGCATCTGTGCCCTCCTTGCTTGATGCTTTAGCTCAGCTGCAGATGGGTGATCAGTGCAGGTCATTTGTCATGATGAAGCAGTAGGCAGTTCCTAATTTCTTTCAACCTTTTAATTATGTACAGGCTAAATTGCAGCATTCTGCTTTTAACGGTGTGCTTAGAGGAGCCACATTCTTACTAAGGCTTTGTGACTTTTAGAGTTGTGTGTGTGTACCTGGAAGGCTGTGTTCTTCCATGCGTCTCGCTGGCCATCCAGTTTTGTCCCTCTGAAGAAAATTTTGAATCACCTCAAATTTTTAAGGGTTTTATTTGATGAGTAGACATAGTCTAAAACAATATTATTACTGTCTAAAAGTAATATTACTTTTAAATAGGCCCTCTTCATTTTCAAAAAGAGAAATAAACCTCAGTGTACAATTTTGGGGAGTTTTGCTTTGTAATCAGTCATAATTTAAAAAGAAGATGGTGGTATTACTTGTCTACTCCTTTAAAATTGGTTGCTCTGGGCTCTGATTTTTTTTTTAATCTCAATTCGTGCGGTTGTTACATATTACACAATTCAAAATGTTAATGTAAAACAGGAAAATAAGCAATTGGGTATTTGTTCAGCTCATGACTTCTGCTCCAAAGCAGATTTATATTCTTAAAGTCTAGAAGTTAAGGTACTATAATATAAAGACTTCTTTTAGAAGTAACAAAAATTGTAAGGGAAAAATATTGTCAGCAGAAAGAAGTTGCAAGCTTAGTAATTTACACTGAAATCAGATTTACAAAAGAGCCCTGAAAAAGGTTTGTACTGCAGATGGTTTACTTGATGATAGATACATCGGGATATACAGTTTGAAAAGACAAACTTTTCTTGCCTTTGGACTCCCACTTTTTTTTTTAAGTCGTTATTGTACAGAGTTCCTGTTCCCTTTACCCTTAATAAAAAAGGACCAAACATTCTTTAGAGGAATGGAGTAACAATTAGTTTTAGTTTTATAGCATTACATGTTAATGTGGTAAGCTGTCTTTTTTATTTTATACATGTGAAATATTCTTTATTTGATGTTTGACCATATACTATCTGATTGGTTGATTATGATTCTGTGCTGTTCCTGGACTGCTAGAATCTGGCCTCTGGCCATCTTAAAGTGCCAATAGATGCCTGCAGGGTTTTTTGAAAAATGATTTGGAGTGACACACTTGATTATACCTAATATTCACCACATCAGCATCACATCCAGCATTCTTAATTTGTCCATGGGTAATGTAAAAACAATGAAGGGAAAAGCTCATTTAAAAAAAAAATTCTCCTTCTGTAATGGCTTGTGTTGATTTTAGTGCCTGTGACCCTGGCAGTGTTTCCAGTGTGGTCACTTCCAGTGCAGTATCCATGTGTTTCTGGGCAGTTTTTCTGCTCAGTGTGCTCCTGAGATGGCTTTCCTGCCACCCAGAGTGTGGTCCCTGGCCGCCTCCTTCTCCTGCTCTGTAAGCCCAGAACTGGCTTGCTTGGAGCTAGGGGTTAGTCCTGGGGTGTGTGTGCCTGCATGCCTTCATGCATGCGAGTGTATTGCCGACTCAGGAATTGCCTCCTCCCTGCCTGGCTAGCAAGGAATGGGACAGGAATGGTCCCCCTGCTGGCCCCAGCAAGGCCCGATGAGTGACTGCCCATACTTACTCTCTGTGTTTTTGGGCCACTGCTTTCCCTGTTAGACAAGGGCTTGTGGCCTTTAGCTGGCTTCCCTGATGGAGGAGAACACTGGATTATGGGAAATGTTCTAATCACTCTTTGCCATTACCTACATCTGTTTGCATAGGTGATTAGAAGTTGTTTCTGGTGAGTATAGATAAGAACTCCCAAGGCAACTTTCCACAATTGTCTAGCAAGTATTTCTTATTTAGGAAATGACAGATTGTAGTTTTGGCAAAACATCGACAAAATAAGGGTACATTTTCAATTAAAAATATTCCTACAGAGAATTTTGTGCTTTACCTGTAGTTACCTAAGACTTTGAATGTGTCTTAGCTACCATAATATTGGTAGACCTGATTAGAAGGCACTTCTTTTTAAGCCAGAGAAGAAGAAACATTTCATCCTAATTTCTTCCCGTGGGATAATTGAGGGGGGTGGATAGCCTTAGTATGGCATCATTGGTCCCCTGTTTACCCTCAGTGCCCCTGTTCCTGAGCTGAACTGCCCCTCCACATGCTATGAAACTGCTGGGTGACAGCCATGAGGTCATGTACACTGGGTGAAGTTTAATCTTATTATTTACTATTACTTTAAAAGAAAGAAACGACATAACCAACATTTGATTGGCCTGTGCTAAGAACTGTGGGAAAAAAATTGAAAAACTGTATGTAGAATAAGGTATTTCTCCTTTTAAGTCCTGTCCTCCTTCCTGCATTTTCAGCAAAATGGAATGAAAGCTGATGTGCTTGCTTTGCTTTCTTGGATAATTTTAAACTATGTAGTTTAAAAAACAAAAACAGAACACTACAAGGCCGACAACTCTAGTGTATAAACACAGCTTTATTAAGGCATTCGCTGTAGATGCTTTCCCAATGTACCTGGTGACCCTTGTTGTTCAGCTTGGAAATTAAGGGTAACTAGGCTAGCAGTTCTGTGTAACATTCTTTAAGCATATCTTAAAATAGTATTTAAGTAAATGGTCTAATTTCTACATAATTATTGCACTGAACTGTCCTTTTTTGTGTTTTTTTAAGGTGTTTAACTAAGCTCAGCTAGTTCAAGACACTGTAGCCACTTGTGCCTCAGCGTGCTTGACTTTAGCAGCTTAAAGCATTATTTATGAAGGAAACTATATAAATATGAAGTACCTCATGTTGAATGTTATTGTACTGTATTTTTAATGTAACAGTGCAGATCTTGTTAGACACATGAATGTGTATAATCATGTTAAATGCAAATAAAATAACGCTGGTTCATAGATTTGTTTCCTTAGCATTTTTGTTACTCTTCAAATAGTTGAAAAACAAAACAAAACAAGAAAAATCACCCTGGCACTTTTGGTGCTGAGTTTTATAGAGTGCTTTTCACAAGGGCAATTGTTTTATTAAAGGTTCAGATATGTGATCCCTGAGGAAGGAAAAATTTGAGGCAAAAGCATAAGAGAACAGTGAATATGCTAATAAGTTGCATTGTTCAAAGCTTGACTGTTTAAGTTAATTGGGAAGGAGTGAATGGGTGCATTTATATTTCTCCTATGGAATGTGTGGTTGGCTGGCATCCTGAAGCTGCTCTTGCTGGATCTCCCTGTACTAAGGCGGTGTTATTCTTCATGACATCTGGCTTCTAATGTGACCAGGAGGGCTTCAGCTTCCTACATCATTAGAATGGCAGACGTCTCCAAATTTGAAAACATAAATAAATAGAAAAGTCAATTAATTTCCCATTCTATTACATCAAGAACTTAATGCAAATAACACACCCATATTCTCCTAGGCTCCATCACAGTTACAACCTAAATCACAAAATCCAAGAAAATCTTAGTTGTTATCTCTTCTCTGTTGTTGAAACATAATCCACTTGTTTGTTTCCATTATTCCAAGATAATTGGGAATGACTCTCCTCTGACATTGGGATTCCAGATCAACCAGTCACTGAAATTGGACATTCTTCCCCTTTGATTCTTGACTTGCCTAGGAAGACCTCAAACTTGAAATTTGAGGGAAAACAAAAAAGTGGGAAGCACTTCTGAGCAACTAAGCAGTGTAAAAGTTAGGGGCCAAATTAAGCAAGTGTTTTTAGAAACTGATTTTGTTAGAGCACATTTGTTTGGAATGCCTTTGAGAGAGTTCCATAAAAGATAAGCACAGTTTAGATTACTAATTAATACAGTTCAGCATTTTCTTCAGCCACCTACTACTCTTGCTCTATACTTCATTTACTCTCTGCTTTTCAGAATGCTTATGCTAACAAAAGGAATACTAGAGAAATTTCTCACAAGCAGAATTTGCTCATTTATTTCCCTAATGAACATTGACTCTGATGTAAAGTTTCTCAGTCAAGAAATCACCAAGGTAAGTAAGATGATTTTATATTTAATAGATGACTTATTTCATCAGCTGTTTTATAGGAGTGAAATTATACCTGGGAAGAAAAGTTTAAAAAAATAGTGATATACGTTAATTATAACATGACGTACTGTGGTAAATAGGTGAGCAGTATATAACATGAAAGAAAAGTCTGCTACATTTTGTTATGTAGCAGTCCTTACTGGGCCTACACAATTTGCAGTTTACTTCCTGAACTATTGTATTCAGAAAGTAGAATAAGAATAGATAGTAACTATTTAAAGGAGGTCATATAATCAGTTTTTCAAAGCTTGAAGCAGAGTCCTCCTATTCTGTAGAATCCTTAAAAATGTACTTCTGAGACCACTAGGCATCTCATGCTTATCTGAATGACCTCTAAACTTTAAATTACTTCAGGTTTTTCTATTGTGTTGGAACAATATACTGAGACTTAACCAGTTCAAAATTAGAAATTAGCAGAGATACTCACTCTTAAAAGAAAAATTCCCATTCTAAGGATATTTCCTGGCATTAATGGACTAAGGAATATTTATAGTGTTTCGTGAGTAATTTAGCTACCTTTGAGACTAGGTTAATGAGTCATTCAAAGAACTAACCCACGATTCATTCATTCATTGATCTTTTATTGATCTTTTATTTCATCCCAGGAAGGCAGAAGTGCTGGGGAATCAGAGACCAGTCAAACACAGTGTGGAGTGTAAGTTTGGGAACTTCGTCCAGACTCACGCATGTCTCATGCAAAAGAATCACAGATGACTGCGTCCCAACCCCAGAAATTCCAATCTGGTTAAATTTAGGTGGGGCCTGAGAAATTGCATATCCAAAAGGCTCACTTGACTCCTGTCTGCAGATGACAGAGTGTTGCTGAGCTAAATGATGTTGAGAGAACAAGGGATGGTGAGAACAAATCAGTAGGTAAGGGGTAGCAGAAGAATGCTATCCTTTCTAGCAGATCACTGGAAAGGGACATGTAGGCCAGCGTGGATGTGGAAAAAGGAATTCTCCCACTAAGCTTGAAGGGATGTGTCAGAATCATCCATGGGAAGAAGACTGATGCAAATCGGGGGTAGGGGCAGGGTACACATTCTAGAAGAGGTTTAGCAAGGCAGCTTGATGGGGCATGAGTACAAGGTCCCCTGTTGAAGAATGAAGGCACCTGCTGTGTTCCAACTCTGGAAGAGGATAATGAACAGAGGAGCAGGAAGACAGTACTTGATGTATGAGACTGTTATCCAGCTTTTATCCATAAATCAGGTTAATGACATTGAAGAGGTTTTGATGTGTGCACTCTGCTCTAGAAATGAGGATCAAAGTGGGCCAGGAATGGGGAAAAGAATGAAGATTCTAGAAGGGTAAAAGGAGAGCTCGGCCAAGGAGTAGGAGGACTCCTTAAAAGATACTCTGGGTGCCAGTGGCTCACACTTGTAATCCTAGCTACTCAGGAGGCTGAGATCTGAGGATCGTGGTTCAAAGCTATCCCAGGCAGGAAAGTCCATGAGACTCTTATCTCCAATAAACCACCAGAAAACCAGAAGTGGTGCTGTGGCTCAAGTGGTAGAGCATTTGCCTTGAGTTGAAGAGCTGAAGGACAGTGCCCAGCCCCAGAGTTCAAGCCCCACAACCAACCAAAAGAAAAAAAAATCCACTTAGAAAGGAACTTGCTGGGGTTGGCTTGAAACATCTTGCCTTTTATTAATTGTGATTTTTGTTTTGTTTTTGGTGGTGCTGGGATTTGAACTCAGGACATTGCTAGGCAAGTGCTCTACCACGTAAGCCATACTTTGAGCTATATTTTGCATAGAGTCTCATGTTTTATGTTTGAACCAGCCGGGACTGCAATCCTAGTTATGTTTCCTCAGTAGCTGGAATGGCAGGCAAATACTACCATGCCCAGCTTTTTCAATTATTGGTTAAGATGAAACCTTAGAAACATTTTGCCTGGATTGGTCTTGAAACAATTTTCCTAATCATTGCCTCCTGAATATCTAGGATTATAGGAATTAACCACTGGTCTTCCTTTTTTAATTAACATGTATTAATTCTATGAAGGAATTTTGTTGTGGTATTTCCATATATGCATCTAATGTACTTTAATCCTATTCACCTCTCCCATTCTTGTTTCTTGTCCCTTTGCTTCTTTAACTGTATTTTTTTTTTTGGTCTTTTCTTTTTTGGTATTGGGGATCAAACCCAGGACGTTGCGCTTGCTAGACAAGCGCTTTGCCACTGAGCTACATCCCAG